GCATTTGGAGAATTTCACAAAGAGGTGGGCATCCAACAGTTTCCCAGTACCTGCCTGACCAGGTGGACGTGTTCCTCCAAGGTGGTCGTATAAATGAGAATATCATCCAAATAAACCCCACAGTATAGGTGTTCATGCAACACCTGGTTAATAAGTTGCATAAACACCGCAGGGGCCCCTTGCAGGCCGAAAGGCATTACCTGGAATTGATAGCTGCCGAGCGGGCAGTCTTTCACTCATCATCGCCTTTATACGGACTCTGTAATAGGCCTCCCGCAGGTCCAACTTCGTGAACACATGCCCCATACTCAGGTGGGCCAGGAGGTCTTTCATCAACGGGAGCAGGTATAGGTGCTCTACACAAACTGCATTAATCCCTCGGAAGTCCACACAGAGCCGAAGGGAACCGTCCTTTTTCTCCTTGAACCGGACTGGGGCGGCTATCCATGACCAAGCTGGTTAGATGAACCCCTGGGCCAGGTTCTGGTCAATATAATGACGTAACTCCTTCAGCTCCCTGGGCGTCATAGCGTACATCTGGGGTTTGGGCAATTTGGCTCCTGGTATATCAATCGCGCAATCAGTGGCATGGTGAGGTGGCAGGACGTTGCACTCCTGCTCACTGAAGACTTCGGTGAGATCACTGTACACTTCTGGGAAGGGGCTGTCCTCCCTGGGTTCCGTCAACTCTACCTCCCTTTCCTTGCACTCTACCTCCCTTTCCCCAGAGTCCTGACCAGGGGCTTGGGGACCCACCCCAATATGTAGCCTCCAGTATCCCCCTTCCCACCATATCGTAGGGCCCCATTTGTCTAGCCAGGCCAAGCCCAAAATCAGTGCCTCAGTCATAGACGGGATGACTATGAATCGGAGGATCTCCCAATGAGTACCCATTTCCAGCCAGACAGGTTCTGTTATGAGAGTAGCTGGTGCCCCTCCCAACAGAGACCCGTCCACTTGTTCAAACCGGATAGGGTGAGCCAGCCGCTGCACTCTGATCCCACTCTCCTCTGCCACCCCCTTGCTTATCAAGCACCGGGTGCACATGAAATCAATGAGGGCTTGGTAACCCCTTCGTTGCCCTGTCTGTGGATTAGTCAGTGTAATGGGTAGGACGAAAGGCTTTATGGGCTCACTTACCATAGGATCATTGGCTACATCGTCCTCGCTGTCGTCAGCCACCAGACGGTATCTTGTCGCGGCTGTTGCCTCCTCCTCCTCCACCGGGAGCAACTGTCAAGATGTGACCCCCTTCGGCTGCTGCGCTGCTCTTAGCCTGTCGGGTGTCCTTTTAGTGTTGGGAGTAGGCTTTCCAGGGGTCAAGGAAAGAACCTGCTCTGTGGCCCGGCTGGTTACACTGAAAACAGCAGAAGGGCATTCCGGCCGGTTGGACCCTTTGCCCCTCCTCCTGTAGCTCCTCCACCAACCTTCATGATATGGCCAGCTCCTCTCCACACAGGCTGGGACTGTGCCTGCGGTGCACCCAGAGTAAACCTTCCTACCGTGGAGGCGAGTGGAGCAGGAGGACTTCGCAGTCATGGACTAGCCAGACAGAACTGGCCCGAGTCGGGATGTCTGGCTGGTGCCTCCATCCAACGCCATGAAGCATCCTCTCCTGTAGCTGTCCATCTTGACCATGAGGAGGTGTCTTGGTACCCTACCTCCCTGAACCGGTCCCTCAAAATATCCATTGTATATTGTCTGGGAGCGGTGGAATAGATCCACTCATCCTCCTCCTCTCCCGTCAGCCGTCTCTCCCACCAGTCCATCAAAGGGGCCCTGAGCCCCGGTGTAGCTGCCTGTCTGGGCTCCAGATTGGCCAATGCAGGGCTGTGCCACCATTCCCCCGACGCGGCAGGAGCCCCAGCCGCCTGGGTCTCACCTGCAGGGGCTGCAGGCCATGGTTCCACCACCTTGGGCCTGACTACTGGCTGCAGCTCCTGGGGGTCAGGTTCAGGCCCTGTTGCTCCAGCTGGCCCTGTCAGCCTCATCTGCCACCAGAGGAGTCCCCTGTTTACCCTCTGCCATCTCAGTAGAAGCCAAAAAATGATAGGCAATAACAGGGGAACAGGAAAATAATGAGTGCTGACTTACTATCAGCTGTCCTCTGCCTGCTGCCGACAAACTCCAGACACAGAAGGAACAAGTGACCAGCAAACTTTAATGCAAAGAAAAAGTCAGCATTGGGAGTGAATTGCTCCCAGCACTTTACATAGACATGTCCCACCCTCCAACCCCACCCCAATCAGCAAGCCAGCATCCGGTCCATATAGATAAAAGGCGTAGTTCAATGTCCGCGTTTCCCCCTTCCAGATGCACCAGTGCAGCCTTCGCAGTTCCAGCTGTTCTATCTGGCAACCAGGCAACGTTCTGCCCCTTCCCCCCTGCACCCGGCGAGAGGGAGAGGCAGCTGAGGTGAGAGGCAGTCACCCCGGCGTCCAGCTGGCTTGCTTCAAACGCCCAGCCGGCGGTAGGGACGTTCCCAGCGTCCGTAGAGACGGAGGGAGGCACCTGTGGAGCATGGAGGCCTCACCTACTCCTAGCTGATGTCCGGGAGCTGGGCCGACTCCCAGCTGCTTCTTGGGAGCCGGGCCGATTCCCAGCTGACTTTTGGGAGTTGGGTGGTGCATAGCGGTTCTGCCGACACCCAGCTGACATCCAGACGCTGGGCCAACTCCCAGCTGGCTGTCGGGAGCCGGGCGGTGCATGGCGGTTCCGCCGACACCTCGCTGACATCTGGATGCCCGGCTGACTCCCAGCTGACTTTCGGGAGTCGAGCGGTGCTCAAGGCCATCATACGGATGTCGGCTAGCTGCTGGCTGCTTCTTCCCCGTCCACCACCGGCTCATGTCAAGCCCAGGGGCTTGACACTAAACTTAAATTATACATTCAAAACAATTTTTCCCCTAAAGAGATACATATCAAACCATCGCCCCTCTCATTTATTCTTGTTCTTGAGTCTCAAAATGGCCTAATCACTTTTTCTATACTCTGCCATCTCATTCCATTCCAATCCATTCAGAATAATTATTTCCCCTGGATCATTTTCATTCAGAATGTTCAGAAATTTTCTCCAAGCTTATTTTAGGTTTTTCTATTTATTGGAGACTCTATCTATCTATCTATCTATCTATCTATCTATCCATCCCTCCCTCCCTCCCTCCCTCCCTCTCTCCCTCCCTCAAATTTAGAGATCACCCATCTCATTCATAGAGTGATTGTAATGTATTGGCCACAACTGTTTTAAATCACTTGCTTAATGTCTGACCTACATTGCTGTATTGTTTAACAGTTGCTGTTAACTGAAAGCCAGACTGGCTGTCTCCAAGCTGATAATGAGGTTTGGGGTGGGAAACTGTTACTTTAAACCTATTGGTTGCCACCTAGAGGCTAACTGTATAAATAGCTGTGCAGCAGCCTTTAGGACTGCTTCTGTTCTGAGTTAATAAACTTGTTTGCTGTTTCAACACTCTGCCTCCTTCAATGCTTAAAGAACTGAAGATATACCAGTGATTCTGAAAGATATACCAGTGATTCTGAAAGATATACATAACAAGGATAACCTACCTCTCAACTGCCGGAGGATTTCTGTTTTCGTATGCATCCATGTGAATCTAGAGGACATCATCAATACTGTTTGTTCAGTGGTTTTACTCCTTCCTGAGTGAACAGCTTCAGGCCAGTAATGGGGGGGGTGCATTTACCAGTCAATTACTCCATTGTGGAGTGTTGCAGGTTTTCTTCCCTCTCTCCCCTGTTTATCATTGATGTGAAGCTGCTGAGAGCGATGATCCATCTATGCTGAGGATACTCATATTTACCACCTCAGGCCAGGCTGGGCCCAGTGGTTCGACAGAAGTCCTAACCCAGTGTCCGGAGGCTGTAAGAAATAGAAGGGGGAAAAACAATTGAAAATGAATTTTGGCAAAATAGAATTACTGTTTGTCTAGAAAACATTTGGCTCTGTAACTACTCCAGGAGTGATGGGAGTCATTGAAGGAGCAGGTCCATTGTCTGGGGGACATTTTACTCTCACCAAAAATGCTGGATAGTCCATGGTAGGGGAGGGGGACTTTGCCCTGATTTGGTGGTGCACCAATTGTATTCTTTCCTAGAAAAGGAGACATTACCAGTGATTCACACCTTTGTCACTTCCTAGATAGATTATTATAGAGCACCTTACATGAATTGTTTTCGAAGGCTATTTACAAGCTACCCAGCCGTTACTTGCATATAGCTCTCCCAGGATCTGCATTGGTTCCCAAATACAGACTTCAAATAGAATCTGCAATGTTAGTTTTGACACTTATTGCTCTGTATGACTTGGCACCTTGGTACCTGCAGGACTTTGTGCTTGAATTGGATTCTGTCTAGGTAGAGCACACATGCCACAAAGGGATACCAAAGGTTCTTCTCCAATATGAGATTTGGGAGAGAAAAGGACAATTATGCCATTTTATAGTACCACCTACTTATCTGATCAGCCCCAAGCCAGAAATCCTAATGTTACTATTGCTTCTGCCCTTTAGGAAGGCTGTAAAAGTGATATTATATGGAGGAGCTTTTGGCTAAGATTTGGTCTTGTGATGCTTACTTCATAGCTTAACATATGGGATTGAATCACAGTCATTTGTTTTGATGTGACTTTGTTAGGATGACTATCTCTATTATTGTACACTACTACTGTATGTGTTTTTGTGGAGTGGCAGTATGAAAGGGAGGAAATTGGTTTTCCTGTATTGTGCTAGCATGTTCACATATCACCCTAGCTACGATATGGTTATCTTCGATTATCTTTGATTTTTATCTTTGATTAAAATCAAAAGTGAGTAGATGCACAGATGTTCAAGGATTTGTGGCTCTGCGTAAATCCACAAGCCATCACAAGATGGGTGGGTCTTCCAGGTTTGACCCAAAGAAGCCCAAAATATTAACAATAAAAGCCAGTTTTCTTGTTTTGTTTTGCTTTCTAAATTTTCTGTTGCTCTTCTCCCTTGCAGGCCTCAGGAGGTGGTATTTCCTTCATTCAGTCCCCCTGCCTACTCAGGAGTTCTGCAGCTGTAATGGCTGCTGGCTGGTGAACTGGGAAAACTTCGAAAGGAAGGAATACCAAGTCCACCAAGCTGGAAGAGAGCATGAAAAAAAGTCGCAGTGTCCTTGCTGTGACTGCAGATGAGGTGAGCAGAGCACTTTTTATGGCTGTATCTCAATGGGCTTTGGGGTAGTTGCTCGCTAAATTGTGTCCTTTTTGGAGTAAAAAAATTGCCCTATTGGGGGGGGAAGAGCTCATGGTTTTTACCTTATGACAGCAAGACAAATGGAGATATGATGTGTTTTATTATCTGCTTATCTGTTTATTGTCACTCTATTAATTTGGAAAAACAGACTAGTTTTTTTTTAAAGACAATAACTGGAAGACTGATGACATGGTCTAGGCCAGTGGTTCTCAACCTTTTTAATGCCGCAACCCCCAACCGGTCGTAAATCGAGGACTACTCAACCGGTCGTAAGTCGAGGACTACTCAACCGGTCGTAAGTCGAGGACTACTCAACTGGTGCAGCACCGTTTGCAGAATGGTACTTTTGGCGGGCTCAGCAGGGCAGAGACAGCCTGGACAATTCCTATTGGCTTTTGAAAGCCAATAGAATTAGACTCTATTCAAGAGAGTCTATTCTATTGGCTTTCAAAAGCCAATAGAATAAAAGGGAGTAGCACAGCTAAAGAAAAGGGGGGGGGGAATGGCGGACTGCGTTGTTTGGCGACCCCCGTGAAATGGTTGTTCGACCCCAAATGGGGTCCCGACCCACAGGTTGAGAACCACTGGTCTAGGCTGTTCAAAGCTAGATAGCCTGCAGAGCAATCTTGTTAAAAGATTAACAAGATTAAGATGCAGCCACGATATTTTTCCCTTCGAAATGTATCTTCAATTGTGAAGAAAGAACTGTCTGGGTCATCACTTAGAAGGATAAAATGGGCTTATATGCAGCATGCAAAAAATAAAAAAACACCTCAAAATGAGAGCAACTCCATTTGAGAATGATCATTCACTTTATATATTCATTTACAAATGAAATAATCCCAATTCCATTTAAAAATATTTAAACATGATTTGTTTTGTATTCCTCACTTCAAAAATTCCCAAAAAGTTTTTTTTGCCCACACTTTTTTTTAATCATGTATATGAACAAATAAATTGAAATGAAAAGGGCAGCTTTTTCTAACAGGTGCCCTGGAAAAATTACTGGAGCAGCCATTTAAATAGATAACAGTTATTCATAAAATAGTTCTCTGTAGTACTTTTCAACTTTTTCTTTCTGCTTGCCTTCTTATGTTGCAAGTGAGTATTTCAGATCGTAGAATCGTAGGGCTGGAAGGGACCTCTGAGGTCTTCTAGTCCAACCCCCTGCTCAAGGCAAGAGATCTTATACCATCCTGGACAAATGGTTGTCTATTCTTGAAAACTTCCACAACCTCAGGAGCTACCATTATTCCATTGATTAATTGTTCTCACTGTCAAAAAATTTCTCCTTACTTCTAGCTTGGGTCTCTCTTTAGCAAGCTTTCACCCACTACTTCTTGTCCTGCCCTCTGGTGTCCTAGAGAATAAGTCAATCCTCTCTTTTTTTTGTGACAGCCCCTCAAGTACTGGAAGACAGCTATCATGTCCCCCTCCTCAGTCTTTCTCTTTGATAGGCTAGACATTCCTAGCTCCCTCAACTGTTCTTGATATGATTTAGCTTCCAGCCCCTTTATCATCTTTGTTGCCCTTCTCTGCACACTTTCCAGGGTGTCAACATCTTTCCTGTATCATGGTGACCAGGAACTGGATGCAATATTCCAAGGGTGGTCTCATCAGCATAGTGTAAAGCAGTCCTATTACGTCTTGTTGTCTTGATGCTATCTTTCTGATGATGCAACCTAGGACTGTATTGGCTTTTTTGGCAGCTGCAGCACACTACTGACTCATACTTAAGTGATGTTCCATTAGGACAGATAGATGGTTAGCAATATGTAAAGAAGCTGCATATTACTTGTCTATCTTTCTGTTCCCAGCATACACAGGCAAATCCTGTACACAGCTATGTAACCGTTAAGCCTGGCCCACAAAAGAGACACTTTCTTAGCCTTAAAAAAAAAAAAAAAGAGAGAGAGAGAGAGAGCGCTCTAAAGGTCTCTGCCAAATAGCAAAACAGCAATGGAGGTTTCATCACTAATGTAGTTGTCCAATTTTTGACATGTGCTGTCTGTAGAAATTATCTGATAATCTTAGCCAATCTTGAAAAAACTAAGTAGGACCTGATTAGTTCTTGGAAGAGAAATTATCAGAGAATCCCATTGCTCTAGACCAGAGGTCCCCAACCAGGGACTGGTTCTGTGGAGAGAGGTTTTTCCACAGACTGGAGGGTGCATGGTTTTGTGTGCTGCCTGCATCCCACAGATGGGGCTTTACTTGTTTGTGCAGACCAGTTGCTGGCATGCTGTAGCCCAGTACCGGTCCACGGACCGGGGGTTGGGGACCCCTGCTCTAGACTAGATTATATTAAAAGACAGAAACAAAAACTATGTATAAAAAAAGAAGGCAATGTCAAACCATTTCTGTATTTTCCCCAAGGAGAAACAATGCTGACATATCTATATGGTCATCAGGCATCCAGCTAACTCCAAGGGAAATACTTTCCAATTCTGCTAATAAGTATATTTGTGCATATACGAAATTTGGCTTGGATTTCCTCAGAGGAAACATGATGAAAATTCTGAACTTAAAAATTGGAGAAGTTACAGTTATCTCTTATGGGAAGAATTGCAGTGATTAAAATGAATGTCCTGCCAAAATTTCTCTTTTTATTTCAAATGTTACCTATTTTAAAGAATGAGGTTAATTTAAATGAATGGCAGAAAGGTATCAACAAATTTATTTGGGCAGGGAAAAACCAAGGGTAAAGCTTAAAATTATGCAAGACTTCCGTGAGAGAGGTGGACTCAAGGTACCGAATCTAAAATTATATTATGATGCTGTGGCTTTAACACTAATTAGTGATTGGGTTGATTTAACAAATGTAGAAATACTCCATTTGGAGGGTTGGGATTTACTTTTTGGATGGCATGCCTATTTAATTTTTAATAAAAAAGTGGATCGGGTTTTTAAATCTCATATTATAAGGATTTTTTTACTTCGGGTTTGGAGGAAATATTATAAAAGTGAGTTTAAAATACCATTATGGGCTATACCTTGGCATGCGATAGAGGGGATAAGGAGTTAAGATGGATAGTGTTTCTTATGCGCAATTACTCAGGTGGGATGGTAAAAATTGGCAGTTAAAATCTTTGGAAGATTTAGCACATGAAAATATTATATATTCATGGTTTCAGTATAGACAAATAGCTGATAGATGGAAGATAGATCGTAATGTGGGTCTGCTCAGAGAAGATGAAAATCTTTTTAAACAAGTAAAAGATCAAAGGCGAACTCACATTAAGAGAATTTATGGGGTGCTAGTAGAACTGGACTCAGAATCAGAACTAATTAAAGAATGTATGATTAAATGGGCACAAAATTTTGGTGAACCAGTTCTACTAGATACCTGGGAAACCATCTGGGTGAGGAATGTTAAATTTACACAAGCCCAGAACTTAAGGGAGAATTTTTACAAAATGTTTTATAGATGGCACCTTGATCCACAAAAAATGTCTCGTATGTATCCTGACTTACAGCCTAAATGTTGGAGATGTGGTTGTTTGGATGCTACTTATTATCATATTTGGTGGTCGTGTAAAAATATAAAAGTCTTTTGGATTAAGATATGGTGGAATATTCAAAGAATTTTTAGAAAGAGGGTAAAATTTACCCCACAATTGTTTTTGTTAGGTATTGTTACTGATTGTGATGCTAAGGAAGTTATATTGATGTTAAATTTGATTACGGCCGCTAGGCTGTTAGTAGGGCAATATTGGAAGAAGGAATCTTTGCCTACCTTGCAAGAGTGGTTTTTTAAAGTTTCTTATTTGGCGGAAATGGCAAAGATTTCGGCTTTCTTAAAGGAGCAATCGCAAGAGAAATTCTTTGCGGTATGGGAAAAATGGATAAATTTTATACAATATAAATTGGATATAAAAAAATATCATTTAGCTTTCTAATAATTTGTATATAAATTTTAATATTTTATAGATTGTACTTTTTTATATCTCTTTTCTTCTTTCTCTTTTTTTTCTTTTTTATTATCTCTTTTTCTTTCAAGTACTTTTTCCTTTTAATACGTATGCTTTTTTTTACATATATTTTATTGTTAATTACTTTATAAATTGTTTATGTAAGGTATTTAGATATATTTATGATTTATATTTTTTCAATTTTTTTAAGATTCTTAAAAATTTTAATTAAGCCTATATTCAGCTCTGGGAAGATCGGGGGGGGGATGGAGAGGGAGGGTTGGGGTGGGTGGGTTAGGGTTGGTTTTTTTTGTTTTTTTTGCTTTTCGTAAAAATATCTAAAAATTTTCAATAAAAAAAAAATTCTGAACTGCTCTTTTTGTCACCCTAAAATTTTGTCCACCACTTAAGATTTTTTATAGTTCTCTTTTCCGGGATATCAGGCAAAAGTAAAGCATTTTTTTTAATTACAAGTAAAAAATGGAGATGGTACAGCACCGCCCTCTGCTGGACCTTATATTTCAGAGAACGCTCTATCTTGTCAATACTGAAATACTTTTTTTTCTTTTTAAGAACTAAAATTGCTCCATAAACAGACAAACTGGCTAATGCAAAATGTGAAACCATAATGTGTTTTGTTTGGCTTCTCAATTTTAAGTATGAATCCAGCAATTGTCTTATATAAACAAGAACTTACAGGTTATTCTGCAAATGTAGCATTAGTAAGTCAGCCATTATTTAAATGAGCTATTATTTTTGCCTTATACATTATTTATGTATTCTGTTTAAATCCTGCCACAATTATATACAGGTTCACAATAAGAAAGAACATAAAAATATATAAGAAAATACAGTAAAATACAGTAAAACCAAATATTCCTCTTGTTGTGCCACCTAATCTAAAGCTCTGTTTTCATCTTTTTCCAGAAACTGAAAACATTGGAAACAAATATACTGTACCTCCAGCAGAGTAGTCACTACAGAGGGCCAGCCCCACTACAGAAAAACAACATTTAGATCATTTATGCA